AATAATATAACTTTTGATGTACATGTTGATTTTTAATAAAATTAGTATTTTTAAAATTCTCTTATCAAAATCTATCAATATCGTCGAAATTGATGTAAATGTTATTCTGTTTGATAGTAACATGTTACTTTGTTTTATAGTAACATGTGCTCTATTTGACAATAACATGTTACTCTGATAATATTGTCAAAGAATAAAAGAAGAAGATATTTTACTTTGTCCTTACTCAATCATGTGTTTTCTTTTTGGAGAGTTTGTGAAACAAAATAAATTAAGTTATCATTTTCACCAAACAATGGTCAAATGGAGGGATTTTGGCTAAAATTTTCAAAAATGTTTTGGTGATATGCTTTAAACCTTGGTTTGTTATGGTTATTTATTAGTAATAGGGATGGCCACAGAGCTGGTTTGGGACGGGTTTGTTGTTCCCTGCTTTTTGTCCCCGCGGACAAACCCCACCCCCGCCCTAGCCCCATCCTGTTACGGGTAAAATTTTTCAACTCTATCCCCGCTCCCACGGATACTCAACCATATTTCAAATAGCCGAAAAAATTAAAAACCATTTAAATCCTAACACATTAGATAATTTTTCTTGTTTCTATATATATAAACAATGAGATTTTTAGGATTATTATTTATTTATATTTAAATAAAATTATAGATCTTTAGGGGTGGTTTGGGATGTTTTAAATAAGTACACTTTTTGACTTTTTATGAAATACGAATTGGGTATGGGTTGGGTTTGAAGTGATGTGGTAGAGAGGTGATGTGACTTAAATAAGATGATATGACTTAAATAGGATAATGACTTTTTGACTTTTTTAATATATGCCAAACAAGGCCTTAGTATTCTTTTTTATATTTAATTATATTATATATATATTATTAATTATATCGGGTCAAGTTTAGATCGAGGGAGGCGATACGCACCCCGTTGCGGGTGGCCAAAATATAATCCATTCCTGCCCCGTAAAGTGTCAGGTCGGATAAAATTTCCCCTACTTAGGCGGGGTATGAACGGACCACCAATCAGATTAAAATGGTCATCCCTAATTAATAACAAAAACTTTGTTAATGGAAGTCCAAAAAAGGCTAAAGCCAGCACAAAAAAAAGCCCAAAAAGGCTAAAGCCAGAACAAAACAATAAATCGAGAATGAAAATATAACGTCATAACCAAAGAGACACATCTCATTTTGCAGCCATAAGTTTGAAAATTTTAATCATAAATTTTAAAATTAAATATTAAAAATTTTCAATTGATCATCAATTTCGTAATTGTTTGTTACACCGATTTTAGTCAATAATAATAAAATTTTACTGACTTTTACAAAGTTTATTTGATTTTTAGTTACTGAAATTTTAATGACTTACCAACTCAAAAGTTAGTGAAACTTTACCTGCTTCTCCATTAGGTGACAACCAACTCAATGAAAATCAGGTCATTTAAAAAAAAAAAAAAAATCAGTTTGTTTGGTTTTGATTTTCAAAAAATAGTTTTCACAAAATTTTACATTTTATTTTTTGTATTTTTTTTTGTTTTCAATGAATTGTTTTAATATTTTAAACAATTTTTTTTCAATTTTTAGACACACCTAACATAAATACACTTAAAATATATAATATTTGTGATAAAAATCTTTAAAAAATTCACTAAATACTAAAAATACAAAAAAAGTGCGAAAATTCAATACATTTTTAAAAATATTTTTGTGTATTTATTATTTTTTAAAAATATTTTTTTAAAAATATTTTACTATTTAGATACATCTAAGTAAGGTACATCTAAAAAAGTAAATAAATTACTTAAAAATTTAAAAATATTCACTAAAAACAATCAAAAAACGAAAAACAAAAAACTAAATTTCAGAAAACTGAATTCAAAAAATTGAAACAAAACACATTAAATAATATCCCTCATGATTTTTGTTTGTTAAATTTTCACTATTTTGTTTAAAATGTATAATTTTTACAAAAAACTGACATTTTTACATAAATTTTAAAATTAAATATTAAAAATTTGCAATTGATCATTAATTTCGTAATTGTTAGTTACACCGATTTTAGTCAATAATAATAAATTTTACTGACTTTCACAAAGTTTATTTGGTTTTTAGTTACTGAAATTTTACTGACTTACCAACTCAAATGTTAGTGAAACTTTACCTGCTTAACAACCAACTCAATGAAAATCAGGTCATTTAAAAAAAAAAAAAAAAAAAATCAGTTTGTTTGGTTTTGATTTTCAGAAAATAATTTTCAGAAAATTTTACATTTTATTTTTCATATTTTTTTTGTTTTCAATGAATTGATTTAATATTTTAAACAATTTTTTTAATTTTTAGACACACCTAACATAAATACACTTAAAATATATAATATTTGTGAAAAAAAATCTGTAAAAAATTTACTAAATACTAAAAATACAAAAAAGTGTGAAAATTCAATACATTTTTATAAATATTTTTGTGTATTTATTATTTTTTAAAAATATTTTTTTAAAAAATATTTTATTATTTAGATACATCTAAGTAAGGTGCATCTAAAAAAACAAATAAATTACTTAAAAATTTAAAAATATTCACTAAAAACAAACAAAAAATGAAAAAAAAAAAACCTAACTTTTAGAAAACTAAATTCAAAAAACTGAAACAAAACACATTAAATAATATCCCTCGTGATTTTTGTTTGTTAAATTTCGACTATTTTGCTTAAAATGTATAACTTTTACAAAAAAAACTAACTTTTCCATTTAAAAATTGAATGTTAAAGTTTTGATATTTATCACAAATGTGAAACCAATAATAATCAATAAACAATCATTTATTGGTTGATTTCATTATTTTATCAAATCATTTCTCAATCATTTATTGGAGGGTGAATTACAAGTTCGAAAAAAAAATATAATAAATCTAATAATTTTAATATTATTATAAGTAAGGATATTCGCGGTGCGATTCGAGCAGTTTGAAAATAAAATTACAAATTAAATAGTTGATTGGCAGATTGATGAATTGACAAATTACAGTTTGGACAGTTTTGGATAAATTGACGGATTAAAGAATATTTTGATAATTATTTTAACTAATTATCAAACATTTACACTATATAACATTAATTTACATAATATTTTTCATATATATAATATAAACTAATTTTACATAACATGTTTCATATATATATATATATAAATTTGTAATAAATTTCACATCTTAAATTTCTCTTTTATTCATTTTTACTTTGATATTGAATTTTAGGTTATAAAATATACATGTAATAACTATAGTAGAGCGGAGTGGTTTCAAAAGCAGACTATAAATTTTAAAATTTAATTCGCGATTAGTGGATAAAGTGGTGTGAATTGATGCGGATCGGTGTGATTTTAGCGAATTTGATAATATATTACATAATTATAAGGGCTTTTCGTTTTTAATAAGGTTAAATGATTAAAGGTAATGCAAATGGTGTAAAAATACAAAATAAATAATGTGAAGTATACATTTTCGTATAAAAGAGATACTATACAAAATTAGACAGAAAATTACACATCAACAGTCACATGATATAAAAAATGTTTATATTCACACCTCTAATATAAATCTAAATCTAAATCTTAGTATAATAATATATATTTTTGATGTCATGGTAGCTAACGTGATATTTTTTTTTGTATAATTTTAAACAAAAATTAGTTTTAAAAATAAATTGAGAATTATTTTGGGTATAATTTATAAAATGACTTTTTTGTTTTTTATAAAAAGACATATAAAAAATTAAAGAAATGATGTAATAAAAATAAGTCAACAAATAATAAATAATTTGTTTTTGCTATCTAGAACTGAGAAAAAAATTTAAGGGGCACTTACGTGTAAGTTCTAAAAAGTGGATTTATTTTTTAATAGGTCTTATGAAAAAAAAAATTCATAAAAAATTCACTAATTGTAAGTTTTATCGATAATTTATAAAAATTTAATTGTCAATTTTTAGCGACGTATGTAAAAAATTATCACAAAAAAATTATTTTTAATGATAATTTTACCCAGACTTATTTTCAATAAGACTTGATGATAATTAAATCTAACTATTATGACTTATTAGTAGTTTATCCTATATAAAACATTTTGGTAAAAATGGTAGGGCTGAGCAGGGAATCCGTAAAATTCATAATCCGATCCAGTCCAGTCTAATCTAGTAGGTTTGGATTGGTTTTTTGAATTTGTGGTTTGGTTCCGGATTGAAAAATTAAAAATTCGTAGTTCACGGATTGGTTCCGGATTGAACCCTACAGTTCCGAATTGGAACCGATCCGAACTGTATACAAATAGTCTATATTTTTATTATACACTCTCATGCATAGTATCTTCTCTTATTTCATATAAAACTTAAATCCTAGCCTAAACTTGCATAGTATCTTCTTTTATTATTTTTGTTTGTTAGTTTTTAGTGTTAATTTATAATGGTCTAAATACTTATGGTGGAACTAATTTTCTTATGATTGTTTAAATTCTAAAACAATTTGTCGCTATTATGAAAAGACATGTAACTATTGTGAAACTAATATGGTACTATATTTATATTTTTATGAAATTAAAGTCTTATATATATATTTTTGTTATTTAATTATGCAAATCCGTGATCCTAAACCGATCCAATCCGTGTTTAAATGGATTGGTTCGGATTGGTTCCATGATTTAAATAGATTGGATTGGTTCTAATTTTTTAGGATCTGTAGATAACGGATTGGTCTTGATTTTACTCCAATCCGATCCAATCAGAACCACGCTCACCCCTGAAAAATGGCAAAAAAAAAAAAAAAATTAAAGGCAGAAGTGAAAATAGTTAAATATAAATGGGGGGCAAAGTATAATTTACACCAAGAGTCAAACATCACCAGCGGGACCCACACAACCCGAGCAAGTCACCGGGAATAGGTCCGGTGTATGTCACGTGAGACACAGCAGCTCCATCCCTCCATTCCTTTCTCTTTCCCCTCGCCTTCTTACTTCTTTCTCATGAGTCACATACCTATACATATACACACTCTCTCTCACCTATATATCACCCATAATTATTCTCTCTCTGTTAATCGCCTTCTCGCTGAGCACACAGATTTACATTCCTGATACCAAATCCTAACCCTAACCCTAACCCCATACTCGAACCCATTCACTCCAGTCCCTAAACCCTAACCCTAACCGTAACCCTTCACTTTTCCTATGGATTCTCAGGGGAACAACCTCTACGAGACGGCATCGCAGCCCGACACCGGCACTGACGCTTACACCTTCCTCGAATTCCACACCCAGGGCGAGGACTTCGACTACCCTGAATTCCAAGAGCTCTCTCAGCCAATTCGCTCCTCAGTTGTCTGGCCCACGCCCTCCGATTCCATCTCCGACGCCGCCGATCGCGCTGACAGAGCCTCCTCCGATGCTTCCCCGGTCTCCGCCACCTCAGGCGGCGGCGCCAAAGGGAGGGGCGGCGGCGGTGGTGGAGGGAGTAATCAGGCTGCGGTTGATGCTCTTGCTGCGGGAATGAGTGGTTTGAACTTTGAAGAGACTGTGGATGATGAGAGTTACGAGTATAGTAAAGGGGATTTTACGGAACATGCTTGTAGGTACTGTGGGGTGGCTAACCCGGCTTGTGTTGTGAGGTGTAATGTGCCGTCGTGTCGCAAATGGTTCTGTAATTCACGCGGGAATACTTCGGGCTCGCATATTGTTAATCATCTGGTGAGTGGAAGCTTATATGTAGAAATTGATGTTTCATTTATTGCATTTCTTCATATATATATGGTTTTGGTGTGAATATGTAATTAGTTGATGGGTGAGAATGAAGGAAATGTAAATGATTGAGTGTGATCAACTGTTTAGTGTACTTAATTTGGAATTTAGGGTGGAAAATTTGGAACATTAAAGGGTAAATGTACAATATCGCCTGGGTTCTCTGCTTAAAGTTTCTATTTTTTGTGTTTTGGATTATGGAATGTTTTTGTGGAAATGTCTATAGTGGGTCGATGACAACTTATCAAATGTCAACTGCTGGCAAGGAAGCAAATTAATTACTTGATAATGAAAAGAAGTTGTAATCATGGTTATCAAATCACGATAATCCGAAATTGCCAGAACGTTTGAAATGGTTGTAAAATTGGTATTATGGCACGATCGCAAGAAGGATTGTAGGAGCTGGTGATTTTTCACCTTATTTTTAGCATGCATAATATTGGTATTTTCCTTTAATTGTTTTTATAGAAAGTAGAATCTTACGGATCAAGGTCCGTTCCTACGATCCAATCCATGAGACCCTCATATTGATCCAATGTGAGATGCTGATTTTAACAACCTTCGTTGTCATGAAACAGCCTATAATTACATAAGAACAAACTTTGAATGCAATAATTGTGAAAAAAGTGTATTCAATTACTACTTTAAGTTGCCATAACAAGGCTGCAATAATGATAGAAGCCACTTTAAAACAAAATTTCTTTCCTTAATTGAGTTGGATATTGTTTAGATGCGTTTTTAAAATAAATACTTAGATGTGGATTTTCCTGGTTGCATTTGATGCTTTCAAATTAGGAAGTCAAGTTGAAGTTATTTTGTTGCCTTTGTTAACTGGTATGGTGGTTCTTGCCTATGTGAACTTCAGTTGTGGTTCTTACCTATGTGACCTTCAGTTCATTCCATGGGAGGAATTGAAGTGTTGCTAAACATTTCCATCTGCAAAACTTTATGGAATAACAAATCTTTTGGTGCATTTGGATTTGTTCTTGAGGTCTTTGCGCAATATCAAACCTTGTCTGGAGTTATTGATAGACTAGGGCTACAATTTTCTAGAGTGGGTGGATCCCAGGTTTATCAGTTTATTTTATGCTTGATAGGTAGCTCAAGTTTGTCAGTTTATTATGGCCTTCTGTTTTTGGTTTTTTGAGTGGTAGCTCAAGTTTGGTTGCAATCTGATTTTTGCTAAAATAATTACGTAGTTTTTTTAGGGTTTTTTCGGCAAGAAATTGTTTATTTCAATTGAGCGATAAATTTATATAAGAATTGATTATGAAGTTTGCTAGTTTGGCATGAAGGGCTTTGTTTGGTTGTTTATTTATTTTCTTACCTTCTTGTTTAGGGCCCTTGGTTTCTCAGTTCTCTCTACTGTTGATCACTTGTTTGACGTCATGTTTGAATTTAATATTTTAATGTATTGTAAGCTTATCGATACAATCTATTTGCATGTGAGGTTTAAATTTCATAGTTGTGATTGGTGAATGCCTGTCTAGTAGTTTTTTGTTGCAATCTTTTCTTTTTCCCTTTTTGGTTAAATGTATTATAACATAAATTATTTTGGAATAAATTTGATTTTCTACTTTGATGATTTTCTATATCAGGAGGTTTATGTTATTGTTTTTTGTAGGTTCGAGCTAAACACAAGGAAGTTTGTCTTCATAAAGATAGTCCCCTGGGAGAAACAATCCTTGAATGTTACAATTGTGGTTGCCGAAATGTTTTCCTTCTTGGATTCATCTCTGCCAAGACAGAGAGTGTTGTCGTTCTTTTGTGCAGGGAGCCTTGTCTCAGTGTCAATGCATTGAAGGATATGAATTGGGACCTGAGTCAGTGGTGTCCCCTTATTGATGATAGATGTTTTTTGCAGTGGCTGGTTAAGGTTGTTATTGCCTTTTTCCCATGTTGTCATTTCTGTTTTGTCTCTAACCTGATATATATACTTTTTCCCGAAGTTGCTAAACTTGTACACTTTGCAGGTCCCATCTGAACAGGAGCAGTTGAGGGCACGCCAAATCAGTGCTCAGCAAATAAATAAAGTTGAAGAACTTTGGAAGACCAATCCGGATGCTACCCTGGAAGATCTTGAGAAGCCTGGTGTGGATGATGAACCTCAACCCGTTGCCTTGAAGTACGAAGATGCATATCAGGTTCCATTTTTTACAACACTAAGCTGTAGCTTTGAATTGGTGTTTCTCATTGTATGATTGTTTTCATTGCATGAGAATGATGTGGAGGAGTTGTAGTTATCTATCTAATCAGTTTTTTACTAATAAATTTTTGATGATGTATTTCCCATTGCAGTATCAGAATGTTTTCGCCCCGCTTATCAAGCTTGAAGCTGACTACGATAAAGTATGCATGATGTTTTCCAATTTCTTTCATTGTTTCACTTTTACTGTTTTGTCATTTTTATTTTTCAATCAATGACATTAAAACCTTTCTTACCCAAAATATTTCTCCAATTGAAGTATTTCGTGCAGCCTTACATAAATTTGATTTTTTTAGATGATGAAAGAATCTCAAAGCAAAGACAATGTCACGATACGGTGGGATGTTGGTCTCAACAAGAAGCGCATTGCATATTTTGTTTTTCCAAAGGTGCTTCACTATCTTTGTTCTAGTTTTTACTTCTGTTTTGCAATTTCAATTCTAGTACCTTTTACTTTATGCCGGTCCCTAGCTTTTCAATTTATATTTATTTTTTGTTAAAGCTAAAAGTACACTTTATGTTGCAGGAAGATAATGAGTTGCGTCTTGTACCTGGTGATGAGTTGCGGCTACGCTATTCAGGAGATGCAGCTCATGCGGCTTGGCAGTCAGTAGGGCATGTGGTAAGCACTTTTTTTCTTGATTTGTCATTTTTTTCGTCTGTCATCTTTAGTTTTTGATTTTGTTTTAATTTCTCTTGGTTAATTTTTCCATTGAGAAGTTGTCATATAAATAGTTGTCCTTTACTTGTTTTGTATCCTTTACAAGGGTTTCGTAGGATGTGGATGCATTCTATGGATGGTATGACAGCTTAATTTTGTTGTTTTAGATAAAACTAACTGCACAAGAGGAGGTGGCTCTTGAGCTTCGTGCCAGTCAGGTAACTTGCTCATTAACTTTAGTGCCTTCAGTTTGCTTTGAGTGACAATTGTTGTGTGTTCTTATTGAACATTTTCTGTAGGGAGTTCCTGTTGATGTCAACCATGGTTTTAGTGTGGATTTTGTGTGGAAGAGCACAAGTTTTGATCGGATGCAGGGGGCAATGAAAAATTTTGCAGTGGATGAAACAAGTGTTAGTGGGTGGGTTGGCTGCTATTTATTATTATAGTTTTTGAGTCAATTTTGATTTTTGCTGGTGTGCTAATGTTCTTTTGCTTTTTTGTTTTCCCGTACTTTTTCTTATGTTGTTTATAATCGTAGACAATATATTGACAAGTGAGAATACTAATGTTAATAGCCCCTAACGAATATCTTTCTTGTTGCATTACTTTCATCTAGGATTTTTCATGGTTTACAGTTGGTATTGGCTGTAGTGTTGGGGAATGCAATGGTTGATGTGATGATACTTGGAAGTTGGAACGAGTTTGATGAAAAAAGTGTTCATTTAAACATGCACTTTGCTTGTGTTGCATATGCACCATATTTCTTATTGCATACATATAGTTAATTTCTTTTACCTTATCTTTTCTCATTAAAACTTCTGTTACAGTAGTAGGTAGCATTTTAGAAAAGATGCAGTAAAATGTAAACGCTCTAGGAGATAACTTCCGTCTATAAAGTATTGATAAATTAACCTTCTGGGTCTGTGCAAGTTGGCTTTGATTGGCTTTTATTAACATTATCTCAAATTAGAATAAACCTCTGGATGCTGCTAGAACTCCCTAAAATTGGCCAAAGTATGCATTTGGTTGGGCTGGGCTGGGCTTGACTAGCTCTCTTGCAAGCCTAGTGCATGTGATTCGTGCCTGAAGGCTAAATAGTCGTTGCTAAGACTGCTAAGATGTTAGCCTGGCCGGCTATGCACCCTACCTTCTTGGCAATTCTCTGTATGTGATTTTTTTTTTTTTCTTTTTTCCCTCACTTTTCTTGATAAATTTTTTGTCTGTGATTATTTTCTTTTTGCAGCTGAATTCCTACGTTAATTGAGTTTTGTTGAAATGATTTTTGCATGCAGGTACATTTATCATCACTTGTTGGGCCATGAAGTTGAGGTTCAGATGGTCCGTAATACATTGCCTCGTCGTTTTGGTGCGCCTGGCCTACCAGAGCTTAATGCATCTCAAGTAAGCTGTCTTAGTTTGGGACACTGCTATAATTAATTTAGATATGTGGTTTGCAACTTATACTTGCTACTTTTCTCTTTTGTCTTTATATCTCTATCTCTATCCTTTCCCCGCCCCCCCTTTTTTTTCTTCATATTATATGCAGGAATTTTTTGTCCTATATGGTGGCTGATAATTCCTAATTTGTTTTAATCTAACATTAGAATGTGGAGTGAGAGTGAGTGGATTACACAAAAAGTTATTATTATTTTTCTGGTAAGTAGGAAATAAAAAATTAGTATTTGGTTTGACTTGTGGTGTGATCGTCAATTGATGAACTGAGGGGTATAAATGCAAATTTTTCATGGCACGCGCATGGTTGTCAAAATGCCTAGGTGAAGCTGAGCTGTAGTTTTGCTAATAGAAGCTGCGTAAGAAGTTGCCATGCGAGCTTTGATTTGTTAATTTTCTTACGTTGAATGTGCTACAAATGATGTTAGACAATATGCTTAAGCTTACATTTCTCAATAGCTTGGTGTATATGATGAACTTGATGAATAGTTATGAGAAATTGCCTTGAAAGCAATTATCAATAGGATGAGGAAATGAGATCTAATATCTTGATTTTGAAATGAAGCATAAATTGATAAGATTGCCAGTTAACTCATTCTAAGATTGATAAGATTTGCAATACACACAAGCTTGGTGTATGCTTTTTCTAACATGTGTCATTTATTGTGCCTGCCATAGTTGTAAATATACAGCATGCAACATACAATAAAGTGCATTTAAAATGTTAATTGGTATGTATCTCTGGTGGGTATTGTATTTGAACTTTTTTTAAAAAATTATTTTTTCCCTTTTTCGGGGGATTACTATGACTGTCAGCTGTACTTTATAGTTTTCTGATGATACACAAAATAATATGTTCAATTGTGAACATTTCTTGTTTTGGACATGTTCAACAAAAAAGTTGTCTGTCTATGAAGTCATGATATTATCAGTTCAGATAGACATCAAGATGAAAGAAAACATCTCGAGATTCTCTTATGCTATTTACTTGTGCCTATGCGGTAGAGTCTAAAATTTTGGGAGGCACACAGAACAGTGCACCAGTGAAGGTGATTTTCGGAAGAAAATAAATAATCTGTTAGTTTGAACTTAGGACTATAAGTTGCATTATGTCATCACACAATATTGTGTTTTGTGGATATTATGTGTAAGTACATACTTGGGTGAAAATATTGAAGATGGTTGCGGCTTTTGATTTATTTATTTTGATAAATAGGGAAAAGTTGCGATTTTTTATGAGATCATGGACTTTTTTGTTCTACACTTTGTTGATCAATGTGGCAGTGTCAGAAGAGCATATCTTCTTATTTTGGGGCTTTTCAAATATTCTTGTATAGAAGTATTGGTTTTGGAAAAAAAATATATATTGAAATGGCTGATAAGTCCCTCATTAATTAATTAATTCCTAATATGCCTTCATAGAGGCACACTAAACTGGTGTTCTCCCTTAATATATTAGTATAGATATTATCTCCAACATTTCATATCATATTCAAAAAAAAAAGAATATGTATCACCCATTTTTTCACATAAACTAACATATAAACTAACATTTATTTCTTATATATTTTATTTCCAAACTGATGTTTTTTACTATTAGCTATGCTCCTTTCTTTCAATCTATTTTAAAATGATACTACATGATATTGAATGCATAGAAAATAGATACTCAATACATATACATCATTTAGGGTTCGTTTGGGAAGTGGGTTGGCTTTTTGACTTTTTTGGCTATGGTATCAGAGCAGGTTTAGAACCTAATATTTTCGCTTCCCCGGCGGGCGGCAACCTCACCTTAGCTGCCCGCCGGACCTCAACCTAGTTCGCTAAAATTTTTCTACACATACCTTGAAATTTCTTCAAGTCCACCACCTTCACGCCCAACTCCTTCGAGTCTGTCCTTGACTCACCCATCGAAAGGCCTTCACCTCTGCAATCCCATCATACGCGTAAAGTCCTCGAAGCATACGAACCCATCTCCATTCTTGTTAACCCCGCTTATGATGCGCCTGCAATCCTCTACAGTACAACTATCATCACCAATGGCCGCGAAAACCGACTGAAGCTCCTCAGCCGTGATTCGACCATCATGATCGGCGTCGAAGAAATCAACCCGTTTACGGCACCGACGCATCCACGGCGTACGGACTGGCGGCGTTCGGGCTGTTGCTACCCACTACACCACTACCACCTCACCTACTCCACTAAACCTAACCCACTACACCACTACCACCTCCACTTCACCTACTCCACCTACCACCTACTACCACCTACTCTTCTATATATAGGAATCATTGTAACATATCAATATATCAATCAATAATACAATTCTCTATTTCTCTTTATACATTAAATTTCTACATAAACTAACATATAAACTAACATTTATTTCTTATATATTTTATTTCCAAACTGATGTTTTTTACTATTAGCTATGCTCCTTTCTTTCAATCTATTTTAAAATGATACTACATGATATTGAATGCATAGAAAATAGATACTCAATACATATACATCATTTAGGGTTCGTTTGGGAAGTGGGTTGGCTTTTTGACTTTTTTGGCTATTTTAGCTTGGGGCTTAAAAAACCTCATTTGGGAAGGGCTTTTGGCTTTTGACTTTTTTGTGAGAGAAAGAATGTAATGATTATGGGTTAGATGTGATGTTTTGTTTTTTGTGGCTAAAAAACATATTTTGTTTTTTGTGGCTATTTTAGCCAAAAAAGCCCAGCCTTTGGCATCCCAAACGGAGCCTTAGTTTCAAGAATCTCGTGTCTGCCATTTCTACAGTTTGGGCTGATAAGTCCCTCGCCAACTACTGGCCCTGAATATCATTATGGGTGTTTTTCTGTAAAGCCCCCTTGCGTATATGCATGACTGATGGGGTTCATGTAAGCCCTCTATTGTTGGACTCTTCTTTTGGTTGAAGTACACTCATCAAGTGTTGCAATCCTTCACTTTTTGGATGTTTTGATTCCATGGTATTTATCAAAATTGGTAACTCCGGGGAAGTAAGGTGAACTAGTTGGCAGTTTCATCAAGTGTTGCAATCCTTCACTTTTTGGATGTTTTGATTCCATGGTATTTATCAAAATTGGTAACTCCGGGGAAGTAAGGTGAACTAGTTGGCAGTTTCATCGAAGGGTTTGAAGTGCATATGTCACCTGGTTCTACTTGAAAAGAACAAAATTTGATGAGGAACTTGAAATGAACACTTGTATTAGTATCATAGGTTTGGTCAAAGTAGTTATGAAATTATGGAGATTGGACACATAGCCATGACATTTTGTATAATGATAATCTGCTACTTCTCATACATGTTATGAATGGTGATAATTCCTGACCTTTTTTTTTTCCCTGACTAGATCCAGTATGTATACATGTTATTCAAACAACAACCTTTATGCATGCTAGATGTATTTTTTGCACCAGATATATATTTTTTCATTTTTAGGATTTGTTATATATTGTGGTGTTGTTACTTATCCTAAAAAATATATATAGTGGTGTTGTTTTTAAAGGTTTTAACCTTCTTCATCTATTGATAGGTTTTTGCTGTAAAAAGCGTCCTTCAGAAGCCAATAAGTTTAATTCAAGGTCCACCTGGCACAGGGAAAACTGTGACTTCTGCAGCAATTGTATATCATATGGCCAAACAAGGCCAGGGCCAGGTAAATTCATTAGCATGTATTTCAATTACTAAGATCTTGTATTTGATTACATGCCTTTTGATAATTTGTTGCTATCAGGTTTTGGTTTGTGCTCCAAGTAATGTGGCCGTTGACCAGCTAGCTGAAAAGATCAGTGCAACAGGATTGAAGGTATGCATTGTTTGGTTGATCATAAAACCATATCTACAGCAATTGTAGCTTTGGTTGTTTTATTTTATCATGGTACTTAAATTGTTTGATGCATTTATCTAGTTTGTGTCAGGCATGTGTGCATAATTTGTTTGGCCACTTGCTGAAGTCAATCCTGCAAATGTGCTGAGCTGAGCCAAGTACCTGGCTATTTGGGCTCTGCTTTGGCTTGGAGAAAAAGAGATTCTAAATTTTTTAGAATTTTTCCAGATAAGGGAAAGAATAAGAAAGACCACCCAAAATATTGATTTGATGGCATTTCTTTTGTTGACAACAACTTGCAGTTCCTCAGTGTGTTTGGTTGAGAGTTTTCCTTGTTAATTTTTTTTATTGCCTTTTGCTTCACCACCTGAAAAAGATGTGTTCCAAGGGTTTTTAATGCTTTCCTTCTACAAGTATTTTTACTTGAGCCATTGATCTTTTTGGCTTTCTTTGTGTGGTATAACTTTTGGTCTATTGTTCAGACAATCATCTTCCCAATCAACATTAGTCTATACATTTATTTTTTTAACACGAGGACAAATGTTGATTTTCCGTTTGAGGTATTTGATTTTTCGTTTTTCATTGATGTGAGATTTTTAATTTTTTTTTAATTAAACTAGGTTGTTAGGCTCTGTGCAAAATCAAGGGAAGCTGTAAGTTCTCCTGTGGAGCATTTAACTCTTCACTATCAGGTTTGTTTACTTGTTAATTGGTCAAATATTTTTGCTGCGTGCTGCTTTTGTGTTCTGAGCATGTTGCATCTTATGTTGTTTTACTGCAGGTTCGGCATCTTGACACATCTGAGAAGAGTGAACTTCACAAGTTACAGCAACTGAAAGATGAACAAGGTAAGATTTGGAGTTGTTATCTGTGTTCTCCCTTTACTTGTGGCTGTGAGGTTTGCTGATCTTTGCTTTGGGCTCTTTTGCTTGGACCCATTAATTTGAATGGCCTTATTTCTGGTCATTTGCTATCATGTTCAGCCATAAGCCTCTCAATCAGGCCAGAGTGAGCCTGGCTTTGGTGTGACCAAGGTTGGCCCAAAGTAAATATAAGTTCCCCTAGTTGGGCAGAGGTGGTGCTCTGAGTGATCTGGAGCCCTGTCTCTGATTGTCTTGAGGCTAGGGCATTGCGTGTGCTATCGTTGGCCCATGAATGTTGACCCCATAGGGCCCAGAGGGGAGTATGGAGACGTATGGTGGCCCTCATGTTACCTCACGAGGCTTGACACATGGCGACAGATCCTTTGGAGAAGCTAGCTTGGAGATGCTGTGGCAGTGCTGGGGCTGGACACATATGTACTTGTACATATAATCTGGCATGATAACATATAACGAGTTCTAGGAGGGAGTTGAACCATCTTGATGGTTCTGGACTACTTCACTAGGCATGATCACATTCCAGTTTGCAATATTATTTTCCAGTTGAGTGGTTTTCAACTTTTCGAAAAACATGCCAAGTCATCCTTTCCAATGTTGTTCTGTATTGTGTTTTAGCTGAATTATGTTTTGGTTGCTAATTTGTATATATCTTGTTGTTTTCTTCTTTCAAATTTGTCATGACAACCATTGCATGGGACTTTGTGTATGTTTTTTTGTCTGTGTGGATAATAAAATTATTATTTAACGCATCAGAAATTCTGCCTTGCAACTAACCCGACTAAAGTGCTTTTTTTTATGTTTATGGGTGGGTGCCTATTAAACTTGGAATGATATCTGTTGTGACCTGGATTTGCGTTAATGGAGCTTTCCTTTTACATATACAGGAGAATTATCCAGCAGTGATGAGAAGAAATATAAAGCTCTGAAGCGAGCAACAGAGAGGGAGATATCTCAGAGTGCTGATGTCATTTGTTGCACATGTGTAGGTGCTGGCGATCCTCGATTGGCTAATTTTAGATTTCGCCAGGTTGGTTTGTGAACATTTTACTATCATAAAGGATTGCCAATCTTTTCTGCTGTGGTTTACACGATTGCTTTCAATCTGTTTATAGGTCCTTATTGATGAATCTACTCAAGCAACTGAGCCTGAGTGTCTTATTCCCTTGGTTCTTGGCGTGAAGCAGGTAAACAAGTCTTTATATGCTACTTTCTAGTCTATTGTTATCTGCTTCTTTTTCTGACAAGATTTCTCTATTAGGTTGTTCTCGTTGGTGACCATTGTCAGCTTGGTCCAGTCATAATGTGCAAGAAAGCAGCTCGTGCTGGGTTAGCCCAGTCTCTATTTGAACGCCTTGTGCTACTTGGTGTGAAACCAATTAGATTGCAGGTGATTGTCCTGTTGCTGCTTTTGTGTTTGTGTGTATACGTATTTCGACTTGTGAGGGAATTTTTTTCTTGTTCGCCCATGGTAAATTTTTGTTTTCACTTTTCATTGGGTAGCCTGCTGTATGACATTGAAAGTTGTCCTTTATCTTGTCTTCTGAAACCTCTCTCTCTCTCTAATCAGCAGCAAGAAGGAAATTTATGTCTTCTGAAAACCTCGTGTCTATTCTGTACCTTGCATGAGGCTTTACACACTTTCATTCAACCTTTCAACCTCCTTACAGGTTCCTTGGGCTGTGTTGGCGTGAATTTCTTTCTTTCCTTTTTTTTTTTTTTATTTGAAAAAAAATATTTCTCTTTTCATCAGTTTCGATACTGGAGCCAATGTCTAGTTTTTATGAAGTGATTTATAACTTTTATGGTTTTTATGGTTTGGTTTTTGTTGTTGGCATACACATGTTCAATAGCTGGCTTTATGTTATTGCATTAGCTGTTGACATATCTGCCTGTTTCCTTTTGGTGCTGAGTATGCTTTTAAACACCATATGTTTCTTTTGGTTATAAAAAGAAACCATATGTTCCTTATGCTTCTTGGTGCATATTTTTTGTTAATATTAGTGGCCGAATTGCTTTTGATTTTGTTGAAGAAATATTATGATGGTGTTCAGTTTTCTATTTGCTGTTAATGACTTTCCTCAATATAATCTGGCTCACACAGGCAAGAGCCTTTCAACGCAAGGGACCAAGTGTTGGGGATTATGGTCTATCATTTGTTTCTATCTGTTTCTGACATATCCTGTTCTTACAAACATGTGGCAATAATGATGTATGTTGTATTGTGTACTTGAATTCCAGGTTCAATATCGTATGCACCCAGCCCTATCAGAATTCCCTTCTAACAGCTTTTACGAAGGTACACTTCAAAATGGGGTGACCATTAACGAAAGGCAATCAACAGGCATTGATTTTCCTTGGCCTGTGCCAAATCGTCCAATGTTCTTTTATGTTCAGGTATAATAATTTTTATTAAAAAAAATTTCATTATAATCAGACAGTCTGTTCAGTTTATTACATATTGATGAGAATCAACCACGTACTCATGCTGCAAAATACTCTTAAGCTGTACCTGATCACTTCTCTTAAAAACTCTTTGGACATAATATTAAAAATGAAGCAAAGTCATGCCAGTTGTAATTTTAAGCAGTAAAGTGTTGGGGATTAGCTATCTTCTTTGGCATCCATTGCTCATATGTGCAAGACATTCCACATTCCAATAGCTTCCCCCCCCCTGCCCTCAAAGAAATTATGTTTAGCCAGTTTCAGACATACAGGATCTTATTGATTCTGGAGAAACGAGTTTCATACATATTTGATGAAGTGCAACCAGGAATTATGTTTAGCCAGTTGTCAGACATACAGGATCTTATTGATTCTGGAGAAACAAGTTTCATACATATTTGATGAAGTGCAACCAGGATTGGCTCTGTTATTTCTATGCTTTGTTCCTCTCTCTTTTAAAATTATATTTTGAACCTGCTTGGTCATTTTTATAGATGGGACAAGAGGAGATAAGTGCTAGTGGAACATCCTATCTAAACCGAACAGAGGCTGCAAATGTTGAAAAAATAGTGACTACATTTTTAAGGAGTGGTGTGGTTCCTAGTCAGGTTGCCTATTGATCTTGTTTGCTTCTTCTTTTCTGTTGTTGGGTTCATTCTATGATATTATAATCTGATTATTCAACATTTACAGATTGGGGTTATAACACCATATGAGGGACAACGAGCATATATTGTGAACTATATGTCAAGAAATGGTGCTCTCAGACAACAACTTTACAAGGAAATAGAGGTACTATATGCATTTGACTTACTGGATAGAGGTGCAATTAGATCGTTGGCTGAAAATGTTACATATGATGTTTGCTTTTTACAGGTTGCTAGTGTAGATTCATTCCAAGGAAGGGAGAAAGATTACATTATTTTGTCCTGTGTAAGAAGTAATGAACATCAGGTTGGTTGATATATCATTTGGACTATCTGTCTCTTCGGTTAGGGTCTGCATGTAAGTGAGGGCTTCTGCCATGGTGCCATTGAGGTGTTGAAGTTACCATTGCTCCTTCCACTAACACACTAATGTTTCTGTTCTTGACATAGGTGGTTTTGGATATTTGCTATGGACGAGATTTTTTATTATAATTTTTAGTGTTTACCCTTGTTGGACAATTTTATTGCTTGTTTTATGTTGTTGATTTACAAAACAAACAATGTTGGTAAACATAGCTCATTAAAGTAAAATGAAAATTAAGTAATTGTTGGATGAGACTGAAAAATAGTGAAGATGAACGTGTTTGAACCAGGGGGAGTGGTGAATAGGTGAAGCTCTTACTTAAGATTATTAATATAAAAATTTTGCTTATTTTACTTGGCCTTGATTAGTGAATTTCAGTTAAGCACATAGTCAACAACACGAATAAAAAAAATAACTAAGATAGAGAGACGAGCTATTTTACATGGAAAACTCTGAAGAACTACAAACACACACCAATCGAATAAATTCATTATGACTCAAAAGAGTACGAGGCTGGAGATGAGAGGACTTACACAACCAAGCCTAGTTAACATCTTTCAATCTTGGTCTTGCTCCAAGTTCCTCACTTGTGTACTAGACTTGGCTCTGACTCTGCAATAATGCCCCATAGAACTCACTCAGATCTTTGCTTTTCGCAGCTCTGTTATCCAATGGCCAATGTATAAATATGCAATGCAAGAACTAAATGTGAAGTTTTTAGTATCAACACTCAAATTTGATTTTTACTTGAGATTTTTCTCACCAAGAAGCTCTAATCCCTTGTTTGGGAAAGATGGGTTTCAATTTGAGTGATAGTAACCAAAAAGCCTAAGGTTTTTCTGTCCCAAAGAAAACCAATTTCCTATTTATAGAAAACAGTGTTTTAACCTAATCACATTAGGTTGTGTATAGTGCTATTTAGCCAGGGTTTGGGTATGATGTTCTGGACTAGAATATGACTAGCCAGGTGTAGAGCCGGCTTGAGTGTGGATTGAGAAGGCATCAAACAGGGTTTTAAGAAATTGTTCAAAAAATTAAAGAGATTCGTGCTCTTGAGTGTGGATTGAGAAGGCATCAAACAGGGTTTTAAGAAATTGTTCAAAAAATTAAAGAGATTCGTGCTCAAGATGGAATTGAGCCTATATTAGGCAGGAGCCGCAGCAATAAAAAATCCAAGTTCGGGTGGACATTGAACAAGCCTCGGGAGAAGTGCCTAATGTCCTATTTTAGAAGTCAAATCAAATTTTGCCAGGATTCAATTAAGGAGTAGGGCTATTTTAATGTGATTTAAAACCATGTATCTTCTACTAAATTTTTCATTCATAGAGCCCGCTTGAGCTTAGATTGAGTAGGCATTGAGGGGGGCCTTTTGAAAAAAATTCAAAAAAATAAAGAGAAATCCATGCTCGATATGGAATTGAGTCCACATTAGGCAAGAGCTGCTGGAGTTATAAGTCCAAATTCAGGTGGATATTAAGCAAGCCTCTGGAAATGTGCCTAGTGTCCCATTTTAGAAATCAAATAAAATTTTGTCAAGGTTAAAATAAGGAAAGTAGACCAATTTTAATGAGGCCTGTTTGTAAGCTAAAAGCTAATAATCAGAAAGAAGTCAAAAGTACCCCTCTCACGGCTTCCAAATAATCAGCTTTTTTTCAGCTTATTTAATAAGTTGTAAGCGGAAGCTGCAGCCTTTTTATTCTAGCATAGACTCCCAAAATAAAAAGCTATAAGCAGCTCAGATAAGCTGTCCCAAACAGCCCCAATGTGATTTAAACCAAGTGTCTTCTGCTAAATGTGTTGTATAAAGCTTTGGTAGACCCAATACTTGTGGGTGGGTGCTTTTATCAGGTGTTTACCCAACCCATATATAGATGTGTGGGGTGGGGTTCCTATTTATACAAAAAATAAAGAATAAAATAAAAGAAAGCGTTGACAGTTACTTTCTGAGCATGGGTCTGATTTTCTTTTGAGTGGTTTAGAACTTGGATGATAGGTATATGAGCTATTTGTTCATAGTATCGTAGATCAAGTGATGAGTTTTTAGTAAACAATATTTAGAATAAAAATGTGTCTGTCAAAATTAAAAGTTGCCTTCCTCTTCAGGGCCTCCAAGGATTGGTTTTTGGGTGTCTAGATTTGAGGTTACTCAAGTCCAAGTAGGCTGGGCTAGGCTTGAGATACCCTGGATTATTAAAAAAAAGAAGAAGACACCTTCCTCTTATCGTATTCAACATATAGTAATTAGTCATCTCGCTTTGGCTTTAAATCAGACCTCTAATTGAGTAGATTTCCTGCTTTAAGTGGTAAGGTTTTGTGCATTATCAAACGCAATTAATAAGTAGATTCACATAATTTTTGCTTGTTTTAATCATTTAATCCTATTATTACAACCCCGACATTATTCTCCATAATGGCCTTATGTTTTCTGCTCGATTATTCTTTTTGTACCATATACCTGCTTTTGTATTAGTTATTTTGTTTACTTTTGAACAACAATTGTTTGCTTTACTTTGACATTTAAGCTTATGTTTACATTGTTTTGTCACACATGACAAGAAGCTGATACTTGATAGCTGGCTTTTTTTTACCCAGGGCATTGGATTCCTTAATGATCCACGGAGGCTTAATGTTGCACTTACTCGTGCCCGTTATGGTATTGTCATCTTGGGGAACCCTAAAGTTCTAAGCAAACAGCCGCTGTGGAATGGTTTATTGATGCACTACAAGGTATCCTTTACTTGATTTTTATGAAGTAGTTGATGGTGGATTACATTAATTAGGCTGTACAAGTCTTCCTGGCCTGAGCTGGATTTGTGGTTTTTGACATTGATGCTAGCCAACTGATATTTAGGGGTTGTTTGGGATGTTCTAAATAAGTATACTTTTTGACTTTTTATGAAATATGAGTTGGGTTTGAAGTGATGTGGTAGAGATGTGATGTGACTTAAATAAGATGATGTGACTTAAATAGGATAGTGACTTTTTGACTTTTTAGATCTTTTATGGGATGCCAAACTTAGCCTTAAGTTGGGTAATATTCTGCTCAAATGATTTTTTGGTTACTGATGTTGGGGCCTTAAGTTGTTCACCGGTCAACTCATACTGGCTGTTGATCTTCATGCTTTAGCAGGCCATAAAAATGATCAAGTTGCGTCTGAGTTGTCATTCTGGTTTCAGAATTATAGATCCCTTGTAGTAGGTATTAATTAGTGCTCCATTTCCCCATCTTCTTACCCATAATTCTGTTTCTTCAGGAGCACGAATGCTTGGTGGAAGGGCCTCTGAATAACTTAAAGCAGAGTATGGTTCAATTTCAAAAGCCCAAAAAGGTATTGCATTGAATGAATGAATGTTACGAGTCTGTCGTTATTTTTTTTTAATTGCATGTTCAGCACATGATTAATTTTATGTTTTGATTGTTATGATGCAGATTTACAACGACCGCAGACTTTTCTTCAGTGGCGGACCTGGAATCGTGCCTGATAATTTTGGCTCTGTTGCCTCGTCAAGTCCAAATTCTGATCGGAGAAACAGCCGTTCGAGGGGTATGTTAGATACTGGCATATTGGATTTTAAAGTTTGTTTTTTCTTCCAATTACAGTGTTTTTTTTTAACATTAAAGAGGATACTATGTTTGACGAACAGGTTCTTATATGCCATCTGGTGCACCCAATGGTACCCATAAGCCTGGGGTACATCCTGCTGGTTATCCGATGCCTCGGGTTCCTCTTCCACCATATCACGGGGCCCACCCTTCGCAACCATATGCTATTCCAACTCGCGGAGCTGTTCATGGACCTGTTGGAGCTGTTCCTCATGTTCCTCAACCTGGAAACCGTGGTTTTGGGGCTGGTCGTGGCAGTGCTGGTGCTCCTATTGGCAGTCATCTTCCACACCAGCAAGGCTCCCAGCAACCTATTGGAACTCTTGGATCCACTTACAACTTTCCTCCTCTGGAGAATCCAAACAGCCAGCCATCTGTTGGTGGACCGTTATCTCAACCTGGATTTGTTTCTAATGTTCGTATTGTTTAATTATTGTTGTGGTTATTTCGTCCTATGTACCTTTATACCCTCGTTAACATGGTTGAGCAATGCTGCTGTTTTTGTTTATACCACAGATGACAGTTCAAGGACCAAGCCAAACATTTCGTGATGGTTTCTCTATGGCGGGCATGTCTCAGGTATCTGATTATGTGAACGCTGACTTTGTTTCTGGGTTCTCTTTTGTTCAATTTCTTGAGTGCTAACTTTCATCCACAAACAGGATTTCTTGGGTGACGATTTCAAAAGCCAGGGATCACATGTTCCATATAATGTTGCCGAATTCTCCACACAGGTATAATGTCATAGTCCTTCTATCGCGCACATGCTTTCAACCCATAGCTACTTGTATATATATAAGTGCATAATTTGTTTTTGTTTTTTTTGGGCTTGCTGATAGAACTTTCTGCAAGGACCCATTTGGCAAGTATATTGCGTTGTTTGTTGAATGATGAGTTCAACAATTTCAAATGTTGACATGTTACTGCCTTGCACTGCAGGCTTCACAGAGTGGGTATGCTGTTGATTATGTTACACAAGGAGCGCAGGCTGGGTTCCCAGGAAGCTTTCTAAACCAGAATTCTCAGGCTGGATATTCTCGCTTTGGTTCAGGAAATGATTTCATGTCTCAGGTTTGTCCATTTATTTAATATTTTTTGTCAAGTTTTTTTTTTCTTCGTCTTTGACTCTGATTAAAAATTGGAAAAGAAACCAAGGTGATACAACAATTCAAAGGACCAGATAAAAGCAAAAGAGTATACTCTGATCCTGGGTATTACTTATTTAAGAGCACACAAGTTATGGTTATATTATATTGTTTTTCTTTTCTTTTTGTCCCACGCAGGTTTTCTCTCTCTCTCTTTTTTTTTTTTCCTTGCGTCTCAATCTATTCAATTGTTTGTAACAGGATTACATGGCTCATGGGTCCCAGGGTCTGTTTACACAAGTTGGATTCAATGACCCATCCCAAGACGATGCTTCCCAGAGCCACTTCGGTGTGGCCAATGCCAACTCAATTCAGTCTCAGGTTCTTTTCCTGTTGCTGTTTTTGTGGATAAATAATGTAGATAAAATTACCATAGCGGCCAGATGTGGGAAGCATGCATCACATGATGTGTATCTTGGTCTGTATAATTTTGGTCCCCCACCGCTTTCTATCAGTGTTTCGCAAGGCCAGGAGGACTTCTCTTGTGCATGTTTTTTGCATCCTTTCTCCTTGTTGGTTTGTAGTCTTGTTTTGTTTTATCGGGTGGTAATGTTCTCCATTTGCCGGAATCAATTATAAGATTTTTGCTTCTTTGCAGGGTTTGATGAGTCCTCTCTACTCCCAGCCCTTTGCCCACTACAATACACAGCCAATAAACTTGCAAGCTACACAACAGCAGCAGCAGCAGCCGCAGCAGGGCCAGAGCTCCCAAAATCAGAAACTTCACTACAACGGTTGAGTGGTCATCGGACTTGTATCCATGACGGTTTGTAGTCTTTGCATCCAGCAACTTGATTTGTGCCGTTCACTTGTGCCCATTATTTTGCCTTGAGATACTAAGAGGGTTTGCCAATAATTGAAAGCCTATGCAGTGTGTTAATGACCTGAAATTTAAAAGATGATTCTGAATGATATTGGAATCAGATAGTTTTGAGTTTGGCAAGAAAGGCTTATGGGACTTGAGGCAGACGCTGGTGGCACATCTAGAGCTGAGAAAAAGGAAAGCCCAACTTTTATCATCTTGGAGTTAATATTGTTTCGAAGAGGATGAATTTTATTTAGTGGGAAAGAGCATTACATGGCATGGTTTTGTGGGAAGGGTTTGGTTATTAGGAAGCCGAGCTGGTTGCTTTATTAGTGTGGGAAAACCCATTATTCACAGAGAGCGAATAATACTTAACTGAATTTTTTGTACAGCAGGCCAGTGAAAAATCATCCTTGCCCTTTCAGCTCTTTGTGACATGTAAGTATACTCTTTCATTAATTATTATTAGATAGATAGATAGATAGACAGACGATGACAAAATGTTAATAGGTAGTTTTTGGGTGTATCTATTGCAACCCTAGTGGATGTGCAGACTCGGTAGGAATATTAATGTGTGATACTGGTGTTGAATGAAAATTAGGTTGTTTTGGATTGTTCATTTTGTTTGATCGGGAGTCCATAGCTTTATCAACGCCTTTTTTTGTTTGTTTGTTTATCTATCTATTTATTTCTTTTGTCTTGATTGGTTGTACGTCCCTGGGTTAAATTAGTACATGGTGTTGAAATTTAGAATTTGAGTGTTCCATGTATTGTTCACGTAACATTTCACTCTTGGGTCTCTCTATGGACCAGTCCGGGGTAAGTGTTTTGTTCAATCCTAACATGTGAACAAAATTGAACTCGAAAATAAAAAGGGTATTCGTTTATTATTTTTTTAATGATTGTTTTCAAGCAAAGAATTAATCAGGAGTATTTATAGATGGTAATATATGAAGGTAACATTTTATAATGTGCTTATTTATTTAAATGCGAGGAGCATTTATATCATTCTATATTTAAAACTTTGAGATAATCACTAAAATAGGTTTTATTGACTGAATTTATTTATTTATAAGTTGTGAGTAAATTTTTTTCACTTGTTGGTCTATTGTTTTGATAATGAAAAAAGTTGAAGACTTTTTAATTATGTTGTGTTTGTAGAATGAGCATTTGGCATTGATAACAATATTAATAAATTCATCATAAGTGATCAATAATTATGATATTTTAATTTTATAAAAATGGTAAATAGAAAGGTGAAAGGCCTTGTGAATAATCTTAAACATCAATACAAAACTAATGTTTTATTTTTCTAAATTTAGCAAACAACGAGTAATATTTTGAAATAATAAAAATTAAAATTTGACATCATTTTTTCATTATATATATATATATATATATATATATAAAGAAAAGAACATTTCTGTTAGCTCTTGCCTTCTTTCTTAGAACTTCCACTTCATTTTTTTTAAATTTTGTCCCAACTTATAATTTCACTTTTACTTTCATTCCTAATTTTCGAACCTTAATTTTTTAAACCTTAATCCTAACCTTAACCTTAATCACCTCTTACTATCATCTCCCACCACCTTTCATCCCCGCAACCACCACTTCCTCTGTCGCAACTAGCCACCGCCTCCAACGACAAGCACCCTTAGTCCCTACTCCACCATCGCAGCCCTAGTTCATTTTCTTCATCTTCTTCTTCCGCAGATCTGAATCAAAGAGAGATCGAGTGAGATCGAACGAGAGAGAAAGAGAGAGAGAGAGAAGAAGATAAAGGAGGAGATGCGGAAAATGGGGTAGCTGTGGCTGTAGCTGCAGCAGTGAGTGGCTGCGAAAGTGGTAGTTGAGATAGTGGCGATTGTTGTATAGTGATAGTGGTGACGGCCGGTGATGCAGTAGTGAAGGTGAGCCAGTGACCGTGGTTGTCGGAGTTGGTGGGGAATGGAGCTAGGGTTTGGATTTGAATTTGAGATTAGGGGTATAGTTGGTATTAAGGTGGGTATTCAAAGAGAAAATGAAGGAGTTTCGTTTTGTTGGGTAGAGATTCAAAGAAGTGGATGATCAAAGTAAAAAGTAGAGATAAATAGCAACCCTCAAAAAAAAGTTGTATATATGAATTCTGTTAGTTTGTACTCATTTAAAAATTAATTACAGGGTCAACCACAAAACAAATATAAAATGGTTTGTAATTTGAATTATCATATGAGTATTGGATGGGGGGGATTAGGAAAAATAATTACAAAACAGATTTTCCGCCGATCAAATTACATTATTGAGACTGGCTCGACTCACACTCTTCTGGAGGCCTTGTTGTATATCTCGAACAAACGAGTTGAAAAACAGCAAACTCGTCCAAACTCCCACTGAACTGACTCGGAAACTCAACAACCTCAAACCCTTGACTCACCAACTCATTCACACAACCCCCACTCCACGGCCTCACCTCACTCGCCCCCCATACCTTCGTCCCCTCCCCACAAACCCTCCTCAACGTCCTCCCCAGCGCCACCGCCTCCTCCGCATCGAAAAACACGTCCGACATCACCACCAGATCCACCACCGCCACCTCATCCTCCAACTCCTCCTCCGATCCCCACACGAGTCGACTCACCTCGACTCGGTCTCCCAGTCCGTTAGCTTCCACGTTCTTCCTCAGCACAGGAAGCAGCGGCTCGACGTCGGTGAGAATGACTCGGCTCGCTCCCAGCGCCGCCGCCGTCAGGCCGGGAAGGCCGGTTCCGGCGCCGAGCTCGAGAACTGTTTTTCCGGCGAAGTCGAAGTCGAGTTGACCCTGAGTGATCATCCAATGAGATAGGACTATTGCTGAGTCCCATGTCCATGACCCGGTGAGTGCTCGCCCTGTGACTGAGTCGTACACGTCGTCGAACTCGTGAATCACTAGTTTCTTGCCTGCAAATTCAAATTCTTTTATTCCCATATTCATATATATATAGATAGATAGATAGATAGATAGATAGAAATATAGGGAGAGAGAGAGAGAGAGTGAGAGTGTGTGTGTGTGTTGTGTTCTTGTTATCTCTATCAAGTTTGTTTGTTTTTATAGTGTTATCTTCTGCATATCACATCTTACTCACCACTATCTTTCTTTCTTCACACGTTTTTTATAATTTTTTTTTTTTTATAAATATTTTGATTGATTTGAAAAAAAGGGGAAAATTTTAAAATTAACCCAAACAGACCCAATTTTATTGATTTTTTTTACTTTCTTTTTTCTTTACTAAAGTGTAATTCTCATCCATATATATGTATATATATATATGTGGGTAATTTTAGATTATATTTCCTATGTGCGTAATATTACTATTTTGGGGGAATCATTCACATTTTCAAATTTAAAATGGGTATTGCTATCTTAATTCAAAAGTTAGATTATTTTTGAAAATTAAGAATGTGAGAATCAATTAGAATATTTAAGTCAACTATGTCTCTCTTTCTCTTATATATTGTCTAATTATTAGTCAATTATCTTTCTTACACATCAATGGTATAGAAAGTGTTCTTGTATATGTTTTTTGATAAAATACTAAAAATTAATTTGATAAAAAGCCAAGGAAAATTTCAAAAACACTCATCATTTTATATTGTTTTCCTCTTCTTCTTTTTTTTGTGAAAATAATTTTCAATAATTAAAAATATATATATATATTTTTAAATTATTATTTAAAAAAAAATTATGTCAAGGGAAGAAAGGGAATAGGTTTGGTAAGACAGTGTCTTAACTACCAAGCCAACCCCTTAATCATATATATTTTTTTGTTCTATTAAACTAGTTTTGAGTATTTTTCAAAAAGTAGATTTTAAAAATAAAACCAAACAGATTGGCTATTTTTGTTGTAACATTATGGCCAACCTCTTGTTAAACTAGAGAAGAAGGGGAAAACAAAAAAAGTAATCAACAATTATCAAGAGAAAAAAATTTTATTGACAAATTATGAGTTTTCAATTTAGAATACCCATTCTACTTTGTACCAAAAAAGAAGAATAATAAGATGCTTTAAAATAAATGTAAATGTTATATATATCATATGTTCTATATTCTCTTTGGATGCCTTGGTTCGATGTGCTCATCATCTGCTTTCTTTTTCTCTTTTTTGAAATGCTATATGCTTACCACTGGGGTTGGTGGCCCAGTAGAGAATGCATTTACCTCCACCAGCCCGAGTCAAGTTCGACTCTTAGGGGGCGCGAATACTCTTGGCTTTGCTAGGAGCTCTTTTTGAGACTTCGCGCTGTACTCCGGTCGAAAACTTGTCCGTGGTTGGGGCGGTTGATGAGCTTCGCTGGTGCCTTAGTGGTGGGTCCCCCACTTGGTGGGGGTTAATTCCTGACTGGCAACCGGTTACTCCGGGATCAGGGCCTGCAGGGGCTGTGATGACACCACAGAACCCTTTTTTTTTCTCGATAAAAAAAAAAAAAATGCTATATGCTTTGTACCCTAACAGTATGCACAATTTTTTCTCTCTCCAAGTTTTGGGTACAAATACAAGTGTTTGGATTCATTGAGAAACTTGGGTTAGAATATTGGATCACAAAAAGAGACATTAGATTTGTAGAATAAAGGTAGCAAATCCTCATAACACGTCTTGTTGGTCCAACTATTAAGCTTTGTCTTGTAGAAATGTATATGTTGATTGTGATAAGTATTGATATTAGTTTTGAAATTAATATTTGGGTTTTAAATTTTAGGGCTAAAAAGGAAAAAACAATGAAGGAAATGGCCAAACTATGGAAACATTTTAGGAAAATTTAGTCAAAATCCCTCTATTGGACTTTTATTTGGTAAAAATGACAATTTAATTTATTTTGTTTTATAAATCTTTAAGCAGAAAATACATAATTCAGTAAGGACAAAATAAAAATATTTTTTTTTCTTGGACAATATTGTCAGAGTAACATGTTACTGTGAGACAGAATAACATGTTATTATTATTGTTTACACCAATTTCGACAGCAATATTTTTTTTTTTTTTAAGAATTATGAAATCAACATGGATCTTATTTGATAGATCTTGATGAGAGGATTATAAAAAAACTAATTTTACTAAAAACTGACATCTACTTCAAAAGTTATATTATTTTAAAATTTTATATTTTGATTATAGTGGTATGTGTTAAATTTTTTAAGAAAATTTTTTGTGCTTGTCCTTAATGTATTAAAGTTTTACGGGAATTTGACCAAATCTCCCAAGATTTTAGACAAGACTGTATGTCATACAAATCCATACTTGGTTGATTAAAGATATATCTTAGAGGGTTCGGCTTTTCTCGTGTTGGGGATCCAACTTGAGAGAGTATTTGAATTTAGTAGGCCTAGTATGAGCCCAATCTCAGTGATTCAAATCGTTCACTTTTTAGTACTCGTTGAGAAGAATATTTATGTAAAAAATCAATATGATTAGACTTCGGTAGCAATATGTTTGAATCACATTTATTTTTAAAAAATGGACAGCGAATAGAATTTCAAGAATAACTATTTATTTTTTAAAGACAAATGTGATTCAAATATATAGTTACTGAAATTCAATTATCTTGATTTTTTATATTAGTATTTTTCTTAATAAGTTTTAAAAAGTGAACGGTTTGGATATTCAAGATTGGGCTTACAATGGGCCTACTAAGTAGGGCTGAGCAAGAAATCCATATAATTCGTAATTTGATTTGGTCCGGTCCAGTCCAATCCGGTAGGTTTTGATTGATTTTTTTAATTCGTAGTTCGGTTCCGGATTGGAAATTTAAAAATCTGTAAGCCACGAATTAGTTCTAGATCGTATACAAATAGTCTATATTCATACTATAGACACTCCCACATAATATTCTTATTCCATATAAAAGCTAAACCCTAACCATAATTCAACATATCACACACCACTGTCTCTCACACTCTCATCTCTCTCTCGATATGTCACGACCCGCTCCCCATACCCAAGGAGAGAGCATACGTGGCCCCGCGAATTTTGCAACAGATTCGATAATAAATTATAAGGATTCATTATTATCTTTAATAGATATTTAAGATAATTACACTTTAGCCCAACTTTTTAATATAATTATATAAATAAGTTAATCCCTAATTAAATTACACTCTATCATATACTAACAAAAAATTAATTATTTATTTTACTACCACACCTATTATTATTATTATTATTATTATTATTATTATTTATTTATTTATACTTTGACCGCTAAATTTTTTTACTAATTATATTATTTTACAAAATTACACATAATAATACAAAATAAATCGTATATTTTCTTAACTGTGATTAAATAATATTAGTATAAATTTTACAGAATAATTAAAAATCTGGGTTGTTACAATCTTCCCTCCTTTTAAAATTTCGTCCTCGAAATTTGTCATATGTGTAAGCTATCCGCTGCGTACTCTGATAAATATATCAGATAATTAATCTGATAGAAAATATTACCTCAAAAAAAAAAAATTTTACCAAAAACAACTCACTGTCTAGTTGTCAAAAATTGTTTTGGGCCAAAATGAGAAACAATCAATGACTTTAAAAACTTTTCATTCTTTTTATCCGTGAACTATTCACTGACGAAAAATAGTTTCAAAATTAGTATCTTTATAATTTGAACCCACTTTTAAAAAGAAATCAAAATAATTTTTTTTTTGAATACTGAACTGGAAATTTCATGTATTTAATTATATTATAATTTTGATGGGTGCTTGAGCCGACAACATTTGTTTCTTTTCCTTCTTTTGCTATAACAAATATAAATTATATCTATATCCTTTACAAATTATGCACACACACAAAAAAAAAATATATATATATATAATCATATAAAATTATAATATAATTAAATCAACTAACAAAATATAATATTTAGGTACTAATTACCCGCTATCCGACTTCTTAAATGTGCGTATGTCCTATGCTCCAATGATAATTTTTTTTTTATTATTTACCATTGCTCTGATACAATTTGTCACGACCCGCTCCCTGTACCCAAAGGTTAAGCATCGTGATGGCCAGTAACTGAAATTACCTACGGCCAATTCTTAAACAAATCAATAAAGGCAAGCGGAAGTAATATTTAAATGAGGGTATCAAAATAATAATCGAGGCTTCTATTTTTATTACAAAATGTATTGGCCAAAAAGACTGATATTTACATATAAAAAATATCATAAAAGTGTTGTGTGTGTTTATTCCGTAGTCTTGCATCTAAAATTTTCCAAAAGCTATTTCTAAATTGCATTATTTCTTGAAAATTGGTAAACAACTATAAGCACATGACAGAGTGAGAAATATTATACCAAGAGTATAAGGGACAGGAAATAACCATGGATAGTTAGTTAGGCCAAAATATTTAAAATAACTTAGTCTGAACAAATAATCATTTAAGTAGCAAAATTGAGATTATGTAAATATATAACCATAACCACGGTACAGAGCAGAACAAAACAGAGATCACAGAAGTGACAGTCAGAACAGAAGTACAGATTCAAGAGGTGGCTCGTATGGATTATAGAGGTGGCTCCCACAATAGTGTAGCACTTATCTCCGCACAACACAGAACATAACAGATGCATAGACTCAAGAGGTGGCTCGTACGAACTCTAGAGGTGGCTCCCACAACAGTGTAGCACTTAGCTCCGTATAGCACTTTGCTTCACATAGAACAGAAGTCAATGGATCCATGACAACAGAGGGTCACAAAGTGACTAAACAGAGGCCAATTGTTATTTAAGTCCCCTAAGGCGGAGGACTCTCGTGGTTGTACTTACAAAACATAATTGTTTATAAGGTTATAGTCAAATACTCTTTAAAATATAAACAAACATATCCATGGGTTTCATTTTAGCAAATAGGGTTCAGAAAATAATCCACGTAACTGAAATATTAATATAATTAATAATAATTTATAAAACATAACTTGTATAAAATAGAA